ATATATCTATACATGTGCAGAAAGCCCAAAGCTGCTCTCAGACTCCAGGTGGTTTTGTGTGTTTGTGGCAGTGTGGGCAGAGCCCCTCTGCATCTGCCCTGGGATCATTCAAGCCATGCAGAAGGTCTGAGGGGTGAACAAGGGCCTTGTTTGTTACTCAGAGATTGTCCAGGGCTGCCCTGAAGAGATCAGTGGAACACGGACACGGGGCTTTGGGCCATGCTTAGGGGTCACTGCAGAGATGGTGCTTTGTGCCTGGTTTAGTGCTGGAATTGGGGTCAGGCCCATGGCTGGACTCGAGGATATTTTCCAACCTAAACGATTCTGTGTTTCTTTTAAGCTTTTGGGGTTGTAGAATTAATTTTCAGAGCATGAGGCAAAATCCTGCTCCACCTGGAGCCCTCAACAGCCCCAGCTGACCCTTCCAAGTGGTTTATGTAGGAAAATAAACCTAAAATAAACCTGGGTCTAAGTGGTCTCCCAGCTAAACCCTCCCTGCAAGAGCAGCCAGTCCCACCTCTTTAAAAGACCCTGAAGGTCCCCAGAGTGGCCCTGCTGCTGTCACTGCAGGGTCCCCCTCACCTCATCCCCCTGCAGGGCAGCAAGGCCACCCTGGAATTCCAGAGAGAAGCAGGGAGAAGCCTCCCACTCTTTTGTTTTAAAGCTGAGCTTATATGAAATGATCAGAAATGCTATTCCAGCATTTAACCCCTTCCCACTGGGCCATTCCTGCACAGGGCAGAGGAGCCTGGGTCAGGTAGGACACAGAACTCCCTGGGAATGGGGCTCTGCAGGCAAGGCAGACACAAATTTGGGACATTTCGACTGGGGAGACTCAAGGAACTGAGGTAGGGATTCATTTCCTGCAGGAATTTTGAGTCATGCTAGATTGGACCATGTCCACTTTCCCTTCCAGATGTCTCATGGGACAACATCCTCCAGCCTCGGGGCTCCCTCAGGAGCTGCAGTGCCCAGTTCCTGGTGCTCTCCACAGCTCCCACTCACAGCAGCACCTGGAGTTTGTGTTTCACTGCTCACAGCGAATATCTCACAAGCAGCTCCATTGATTTCTCCTAATTATAAATCCTATAGAAAGTTTTCAGCTTGCCATAGTCCCCATTTCCCTCCCCACGGAGTCAATAAAAGTTAAGAGTTGCTCCCTGGTTCCTGTCACTGCCACAATAAAACCCGGAGTAATTGAAAAGTGAATCAGGGAAATTGCTGGGTTGGAGAGCAGGGATAATTGGAATTACTTGGGAGCTCAAGCAGAGCTTGTCCCTGCCTGGCCTGAGCTGGAGCCACCCTGGGCACTCTGAGAGCTCAGGGAGGGTGGCTGTCCTGCAAGGAGCAAGGCAGAGACCAAACATCACTGCATAAATTCACAGATTGACGGAGAGTTCTGAGTTGGAAGGGACCCCCAAAGATCGAGTCCAGCTCCTATGAGACAGTGAGGGTGATGTTGAATCCCATCTGAGGTTGTTCCACTTCCTAAAGGAGACAAACAGCAACAAAACAAGTTAAAAAGATAATTTCTCTCTGCATTAGCATAACATTTGAGATGCGGCAGCAGCTGAACATTTGTCAAGAGAACGATTCCTTCCCTCCAGACAGATTTTAACTGGAACAGGAAGACCCCAAAGCCCTCAAGTCATTACTGTGGGCACAATCTGAGGATGAGCTGGTCCCCACAGCTGTGCTTGTGCTCCAGCCTGGAGCACAGAGACTCTGAAAAGGCTTTTTAGTGGCGATGCTGAGAGAGGGAGAGCAGCAGAGACTGAGAGGCTGAGGGAGCTGGGGCTGTGCAGCCTGGGGAATGGGGGGTGGTGGGACCCCAGCCCCTGCCAGGGCCTGGAGGGGACACAGGGAAGGCAGAGAGGGACCCTGCACCAGGAGCTGGAGGGACAGGACAAGGGAATGGCTCCCACTGCCAGAGGGCAGGGCTGGGTGAGATATTGGGAATTGGGAATTGTTCCTGGGAGGATGGGCAGGCCCTGGCACAGGTGCCCAGAGCAGCTGTGGCTGCCCCTGGATCCCTGGCAGTGCCCAAGGCCAGGCTGGACAGGGCTGGGAGCAGCCTGGGACAGTGGGAGGTGTCCCTGCCATGGCAGGGGTGGCACTGGATGGACTTTAAGGTCCTCCCAACCCCACCCATCCTTGGATTCTCTCATCGCTCCTGAGCTTCTCAGTCTGAGGTTTTCTTCCCTGACCCCTGCTCATTGCACAGGTGCAAAATCATTCATTCTCCAAGGGGTTAATGAAGGAAAATGAGTGCACTTTGCTTAAGCTGGGCCCTGCACTATGCCCATCTCTCCCTGTGTGTGCAGGCAAATCTGCACACATCCCTCTGGTTTTATCCAGCAGCCACAGAAACACCAATTTCTCCAATTCCCTTCACTCATTTCCTGCACCATCCCAGCCCTGCTGCAGGAAATGTGCAGGGAAGTGGAGAGCAGGGACAAGGTTCTGGCTCTGTCCACACGAAAAGCATTTCTGTGAACAGCAGGGCTGATGGGTTTGGTTTTTCTGCTGTCCTTGTTCCTCAGGGATTCAGCTAAAAATAGTGAGCACCCCATTGTCACCAGTGGCTCCTTGGTGCCCAGTTCAAAGCTGGGCTGCAAACCCCCCTGGGATTTAATCACCAATTTCCACCCTGCTTTGTTGTGCATGAACACATCTCACCAGCCCTGCTCTGCTGTCTTTAATGTTGAAAAGGGAGCAGCTGTGCTCTTCACATCCTGTTCCATGACAAAAAGCGTTTCTCCTGGCAACTGAAGGTGTGGAAATTTGGGATAATTCCTCTGGTTGCCTTGCGGCAGGGTTGGGGGTGTCGCTGGAGGTTTGCAGGTGGCAGGGAAGCTGCCCAGGGTTCCCAGCCCTCCTGGGTGGCTTCCTGCAGTGCTGATTGCATGGGGGTAAAGCCAAGGATTTCTCACCCAACACCCCATCCTGCATTCCTTTGGAGTCTTCATCCTGGGAAACCCCAACCTTAAACTGAGCCCCAGCAATGGCAACCCCACAATTCCATCCCCTTGTCCCTTCCTGCCTGCAGGAGCAGCCCCTCAGCATCTGGTGACCCCATTCCACCTCGTCAGGGCTGATGCTCAACCTCTGCTGGAATTCTCCTCCAGTTCCTGCCTCAGGGACAATTCTGGAGGCCAGTACAAATCTGGTCTTTGCTGTACTTTGTGGGTTTGGTTTTTCTGCCTTCAGGGAATCAGAATCACAGAAAGGCTTGGGGTGGCAGGGACCTCAAAGCCCCTCCAGTGCCACCCCTGCCATGGCAGGGACACCTCCCCTGTCCCAGGCTGCTCCCAGCCCTGTCCAGCCTGGCCTTGGGCACTGCCAGGGATCCAGGGGCAGCCACAGCTGCTCTGGGCACCTGTGCCAGGGCCTGCCCACCCTCCCAGGAACAATTCCTAATTCCCAATATCCCATCCATCCCTGCCCTCTGGCAGTGGGAGCCATTCCCTGTGTCCTGTCCTGCCTGGTTTGTCCTTTTCTCCCCAGGCTGGGGAAGGAAGGAGAATTTCCTGCTGCATCTCCACTCTCCCAGCAGAAGTAGCTGTGAGTTGGCATTGCCCTCCCTCCACTGGGGCATTGACCCAGAGGGGTTTGGCCTTTCTGGGTGTCCTGAGGGTGGCTCAGATGGGTGGAGGAGCCCTGGAGGGCTCTGGTTGCTGTGCCCAAACCCTGCTGGGGCTGCAGGGCTTCACTTCGAGGAGCTCAACAGAGGAGGAGATTCTGTAGCATACAGAAAAACTCATCATGGCTCGGGACATTTCCTTCTTTCCAAAACTCAGAGAGACTCCCCTGGTGTCGGAACTGAGCTATTGATGATCCCTGGATTGTAGAAAGTCTCTGTCTGTCAGCCCTGCTGCCAAAGCAGAAGCCATCATTGGTCTGTTCTGGTTTCCAGGTTGTTTATTCTGTTTATCTCTCACATGTTCTGCTGCCCTGCCCAGCTCTGTCCTGCAGGGCAGCGTGTGGGGCTCTGCCCTCAGTGGGATGTGACAAACATTAAATACCAGAAACTCCCTGGGCTGGATTTACAATAACGTGCCAATATCTGTCACCTACGTTGGACAGTGTGTCCCCAGCCTGAACCAACAGAAAAATGCCAACAGCACAGTGAAACATGGAGGGCATGAAGAAGGAGGAAAAGGACAAGGCACACCCAATTTCCTCCATCTTGTATCCTTTGGACCCCTAATCTAGAATCCTAAAATTTTACTTTTGCACCCATGCCACACTTAATTATTACTTATATCAAACACTCAGAGCTTGTAATTCATCCTGTAAGATTGAAAACTCTTTTCCATGGCCAGAGATCACAGCCAGTGTCTCTGGGGCTCTGTCCAGGGGGTTCCTGAGCCCTGCCAGGGTCCCAGACCTGCCAGGGCAGCCAGAGGGAAGCTCTGGATTCCCACATCTCTGCTCCCCTGGCACTGTGCAGAAGCCATGGTGTGTCTCCTCTCTGCTGCACCATTAGCAGGGATTAATTAACACCACAAACTGCACGTGTCCAACGTCCTGCTGGGGCAAAATGTTTGCATTCAGCAGGAATTGTGGGTTTAACACTTGGTTAGTGTGAGAGCAGCACTTCCTACTGGATCCAGAACAGAAGTCTGCTCCGAGGGAAGTGTCCTCTGCTTGTTCCTCTCACTGAGACACAACTGGGGGGGTTAGGAATGTAAAAAATGAGGCAGAAACAGGGTTGTGGCTCATGGGAGGTGTCAGAGCTACCAGGGGAATCCCTGAAGGTTTTCGTTTTGTTGGGATGGACTGGATTGCTGCCTCTCCTGTCTGGAAGGCCATCCCTGGCACAGGGCTGGCTTTCTCTGCTGCTCCACCAGTGCCAGCACCCATTGAGAGCATGCCTGTCAGAGTGAAACCAACCCCAAAGAGCACAAAGCCACGCTGAGCTGTTGAAATGAGGCTGATAAAAGATGAGCTGGGGACTGTGGCCCTGTCCCTGGGTGTAACTGGGCTGTCTCCCACAGTTTGACATGCAGAGGATAACACTGGAGGAGCTGAAGCACATCCTGTACCACGCCTTCCGCGACCACCTCACCATGAAGGACATCGAGAACATCATCATCAATGAGGAGGAGAGCTTGAACGAGAACTCTGGCAACTGCCAAACGGAGTTTGAAGGTGAGAGAGGAGGCCTCTGGGTTCCTGTTCAATTATCCCCATCCCAATCCCATTATCCCATCATCCCATCATCCCATCATCCCATCATCCCATCATCCCATCCCATCCCATCCCATCCCATCCCATCCCATCCCATCCCATCCCATCCCATCCCATCCCATTATCTGTGTCTGTAAAACTCGCTCTGGTCCTGGTGCCTGGGGTTGCCAGGGAGTTATTTTGGAGTGAGGAGCAAGGACACACAGAGAGCTCAACAGCTGCCCTCAGACTTCTTCCCTCCCTCAGCAAAGCTGATCCTTTCCAGGCAGGGGGATGGAGCACTGGGGGTTTCCCCTCTCTCTGGTGGGATGCAGGCAGAGGGATGTGCTGAGGTCAGTGTCTAGGCCAGGCTGAATTTCCCCACAGAAACACCTTGATTTCCCTCATCCCACCTTGGAAAGACTTTCTTGGCACTGGCAAGGCCCTAACAAGCTGTGTTGGGCTTCTCCAGTTTTCTGCTGAGCTCCCAGGGGCGAGTCCTCTGCTCCACTGTAACACCAGCAGTGAGCAAGGGGGTGCTGCCATGGCCTGCTGCTCTGGGGACCTTTTGCTCTGAGCTGCCAGGACCTGCAAATCCAAGGGCTGAGCAGTGCTTGGAAGGACCCAGAGAAGGGGAAACATCTCCTTCCTTCAGCAGAGCCACAGGGTCAGGAATCGGGATCAGAACTGGCACCTACAGTAAATTTTGCACTTGGACAGGGCTGACACTGGCAAAGACATTTCCCATTTTAAGCCACCTCAGAAAAAGCATTTTCATTTCCTTGGCCAGAGGAAGTCACACCGCTCTGAAGTGTTGCTGCTTAGAGCAACCAAAGAGGTCCTGGTTGCTCAGACTGGGGCTGCCCCTGGATCCCTGGCAGTGCCCAAGGCCAGGCTGGATGGGCTTGGAGCAGCCTGGGACAGTGGGAGGTGTCCCTGCCATGGAATGAAATGTTTTTTAGGTTCCCTTCCAACCCAAACTGTTCTATGATTCCATGAAATTATCTCAAGTGCAGAAGAGCCCAGGGAAATGGAGCAGAGAAGCTCAGAGTTTGTGCCCTGGTGGAGCCACTGCATTTCCCACCCAGCAATCCCACTTTAGACCATTTGGGGGGAATTGTGACATTCTGTGGGATCAAACAGCTCCGAAAAGGCACCAGGCAGAGACAAAAAGCAGAGGATGAAAATATAGTCCAGTCCTTGGCCTGATTAATGAATGGGATGCAGCAGCTCCATTCTCACCCTCACCTCTGTCAAACAGGGCAGAGAAGCTAGAGGAGCACAGCTGAATTTTAAAACACCTGCAGGAGGGAAGCAGAAGCAGCAGCACTCTCCAAATCAGGCCAAGAAACAATTTTGTTCCTCCTGGAGAAGAGCGAGAGGAAGAGATGTTTCTCCCTTGCCTGGAGCTGTTGGTGCCCACTGACCTGCTGATCCCTGGGGACAGGAGCCAGCTGTCACTGCTGCAGAGTTTTGGGAGCTTGGCTGAACCATCCCAGAAAAAACCCTGCGTCCCTAATGCTCAGCATCTCATTTTGGAAGCTCCAGTTTCCAAAAGTGCAGCAGGAACAGCTTTTCTCGTGGGATGTTTTGGCATTGCTGGTGCCAGGCAGAACCTAGAAGGAAAACAGACCCTTTTTTAGATGTTGGGAACACACACAAATCCAGCAGGGAATAAAGATCAGCTGAACTATCAACAACGGGGCAAAGTTTTGCTCCCGGTCCCAGTGGAAGGGGACAGGTCTGGTCTGGCAGCTCTGACAGGAGCATTTCTGCCAGGAAGGGACAGGTTGGGTCCTTGCAGCTCTCCAGGCTGGCCAGGAATGACCCACCAGTGCCCTCAGAGTTCCCAGTTCTCAAACACCAGGATCCCTACAGGATTCCAGAGCATGTCGTGGATTGTGGCACCTCCTGGGGTGTGTCCCTGGGGTCACTCCTAATTAGTGCACTGAAGGAGATGCTTTTTGGGTAGAACTCCTTGAGTTTAATTTAGGTGCCACCTTGGGGTGAGATGAATTGTACCCTAAAAGAACCCTATTTCTTAGTTCAACTCCTCAAATTGCAATTCAAATATTCCTTTCACCTCCCATCTATCATCCACCCTGCTGAAAGGCCTTTAATTCTGGGGAGGAATGAAACCAAGATGAGCCCCAGTGGCTTTCACTGGGATTTGGGGATCTCCTAAGGGAGCAGACACAGCAGAGAGTTCCAGGAGCAGCTTGGTGAAAGGGAGATCACCAGTGTCGCCTTTGGGTGTGTTATGGAATCTCCGACCAGCCCCAAGCCCTTCTCCTCCTGTGGGCAGAGACATTCCCCTTCTCCACACTTGGACATTTCCCTTCTCCACACCTGGGTGAGCTGCTCAGGTGCTGTTGTACAGTTAATATGACCATCAGGACAAAGCCACGAGATTTCTGCCATACAATTAGGCCATTAGGTGAGAATAAGTTCTTGATGACCATTAAATCTTCTATCAGTGTCAATGTGGATGACAGACCTTGCACCTCTCACCACACAGTTTACCCCAAATACAATATTTGTATTAGTGTCAGGGCCAAGCCCAGGATTTCCTCAGCTCCCTCTGAGCACTGAAGTCATTTGCAGGATGTCACATCCAGGGGAAGGACATGCCCAGGGCAGAGGCACAGCTCTGTCCTGAGTTTTATTTCTGTTTTTAGCAGCACTCAGGGCAGGACAGTGAAGGCTGTGAGATTTCCTGGAACACAGGGAAAGGACAATTTGCTGTGCTCCCAGAGATTTACAGGCCAGCAGCCTTCTCCTTGATCCAGCAGTAAGGACACAGAGCTGGTGGCACAGCAGTGTCAGTGGTGACAGGACTGCCGGGGGGTCCCACCCTCAGCCATGACCCTCAGCTCCATGGGATGCAGCCAGCAGCTCCTCCCTGCCTCCTCTGTCCTGCTCAGCTCACTTTGGGGATGACAAAGTGATCTGTTCAACCAAAAATAACTCCAGGCAGCCAGAGCAAGCCACCATCACTCACCTGTGGCAGGGCTGGGACAGGGCACTATAAATACCCTGCTGTGTCCTTGTGAGGAGCTGTTCTCCTGCAGGAGAGAAGGCTCCCAGTGCTGGGAGCATCCCAAACCCACTGTGGGCATTGTGACCTGGAAACAGCCTGGCCCCATTAGCCAAATTCCTGCTGGAGGAGCTCTGGGGCTGTGGTCTGTGCCGGGGGGGGGATTTCTCCTCACCGGCCTGTCCTGGGACTGTGGAGAAGATGAAGAACGACCCAGCCTTGATTTGCCTTTGCCTCGTGAGGTCTGATGGATGTTGGAAGCCTCTGGGTTGCTCTTCCCCCTAAGAAGGGTTGAGGATTTCTCCAGAGGAGCCTCAGGCTTTGCTCATGTCTAATGAATCAACCAACATCCAATTCCTGGCATGTCCTGTGGGTGGCAAAAGCTCCCAGTGCACCCAGATGTTGGCATCCAGCCCTGGGACAGTGCCAGCTGTGGGAACCAGCAGGAAAAGCAGATTCTGTGCTCCGAGATGATGGGTTTAGAGAAAGGAGAGACCTGAGGGCATACCCTCCCCAGTAAGCAGGGCTGGTTAAATGGAACTTCAAGAGGGCAGCAGGTAGGGAAGAATTGCAGGAATCAGGACATCAGGAGTTCCAGCTCCTGTGTCTCTCTTTGGATTCCAAGGGAGCAGGGCAGTGCTGGTACCATCTCCTTCCTGGAGTCATTCCCAGCCTCCAGCAAGAGGGTCTGGCTGGGCCTTCAGCCCCTCCACAGACATTCCCTTTTCCCCTGGGGTTATTTGTAGGTAATTTGGATGTTTAGTGTCCCTTTAGTGGCAAAGAGCAGTAAATGGGACTTCCCTGCATCCTGCTGCCTTCAGGCTCTGTAATAGAACAGAACCCTCAAGAAGTTGTTCAGTTCAGGAACATTTCTGCAGAAACACCGAGCATGTTTTATCTTTTCCTCTGAAGAGGTGAGTTTGTTATCCCAAAAAACCCTTGGCCGGCCTCAGGCTTCTGTTCCCATCACCAGCCCATCACCAGCAATGCTGGTGGTGTCAGTGATTTCTCTGCTGCCTGGGAGTGCTTTCAAAGTACAGAAATAATAGGAAAATACATTCCAAAATAACTACAGCTGGGCAGGAATGAGCTTTTCAAAGCACCAGGGCATCGTGCACAAAGCCAGGGAGCCACAGCACTGATCTGTGTGGTTTATAAAAGCCAGAGAAGGAATCCAGGAGCAGGGCAGTGCAAGCAGGGAGTGAGGAATTTGGGAGAGCTGCTGGCAGGGGGGATTTCTTTGCCTGCCCAGAACACAGTGAGGCCCCACTCACATTCCCTGCCTGGGGCAGGATGGCTCCAACCCTCCTTAAGAAGGGCTCTGTGCCCCTGGCACTGAGCTGGGGCCACTGGGAGCTGGGCCTGGGGCACAGGCACTGCTGAACACCAGCCAGAGGAGGTGATGGGGGAGAAAGCTGGGGTTCAAAACCCAGCATCCAGGGCTCTCTGTGCAGTAAGGTTCAAGGCTGGATCAGAATGAGGGGATTTTCCACAAATTCTAAAAATATTCTCCTTTCCAGCTTTCCAAATGTGGGCACCTGCAGCCTGTCCTTGGCTGCATTTAGGTTTGTTTTGGGGTTGTTGTCAACCATCTGAAAGCTTCCTGTCATCACAGGACCGTCCATGAGGAGAAGGTGACAGGGACATCCCTTCCCAGGGCAAACGAAGCCCAAAGAGCAAAGCAAGGCCCAGAGCAGGCAGGCAGAGCTGTCCATCCTGGGTGGGATGATTTCCTGGCTGTCCCTGCCTGACCTGGGCAGGCCAAGAAGGCCAAGTGCCAGGTCCTGCACTGGTTCCGTGGGGCACAGCAGGAACAGAATGTCCCATGGAACACTCCAGGCTGGGAGAGAAGGTGGAGGACAGCTGGCAAAGGGCCTGGGGGTGCTGGTGCCAGTGGCTGGACATCAGCCCAGGTGTGCCCATGGTGGCCAAAAAGGCCAATGGCACCTGGGCTGCACCAGGACCAGGGCAGGATTTGTCCCCTCTGCTGACACTGCTGAGGTCACACCTCAAACCCTGGGGGCAGCCCTGGACCCCTCAGGACAATGCAGACCCTGGAGGGCTGGAGCGTGTCCAGGGCAGGGAACGGAGCTGGGAAGGGGGTGAGCCCCAGGAGCAGCTGAGGGAGCTGGGAAGGGGCTCAGCCTGGAGCAAAGGAGGCTCAGGGGGACCTTGTGGCTCTGCACAGCTCCTGACAGGAGGGGACAGCCGGGGGGTCGGGCTCTGCTCCAGGGGACAGGGACAGGAGGAGAGGGAACAGCCTCAGGCTGGGCCAGGGCAGGTTTAGATTAGAAAATAGGAGAAATTTCTTCACTGAAAGGGTTGTCCAACAGTGGTGGGATCCCCATGGCTGGGAGTGTCCAAGAAGTGTGGCTGTGGCACTCAGGACATGGGTTAGTGGTGCCCATGGTGGTGGTGCTGGGTGATAATTGGGCTGTTCCAGCCATCACCACCTTCGGATTGCCTGGGGGAACCTTCAAGGCCTTTGCAAACAAATCTCCACAGTGCCCCAACACCACCCGTGGCTCTGACTTTCAGATGTGGGAAGCCAAGGCAGAGTCATGAACTGGCTTGATTAAGTCACAGCACGAATTCTCACTGACGAGCTTAGCGAAAAGTAGAATTAAATAAAACAACTGCTAAAAATCCCAACTCTGTCTGCTTTTTAATTGCTGATTTCATCTCTTTTGACAATTATTCTGCAAGCATTCACTTGGAAAGGTTCTTAATAAATCTGATTTGGCTTAAGCACAGAAAACCTAAAACCTAAGAAGTTTGGAAAAGTGACTCATGTGCCATGGATACTCCTGGGAATTGTCACAGTGGGGGCCTGAGTGTCATCAGAAAGCACTTCTTGATTTTCCACTTGTTCCCAGTTGACCTGGATGAGTTGGAGGGATTCACACAGGTTGATAATCGCTATTAAAGAACTTTAGAAACAACTTAGTTCAGACTGAACGAGAGGGAGTTTAGGTCAGAGAGTGGGAAGGAGGGTGGGCAGGCCCTGGCACAGGGTCCAGAGCAGCTGTGGCTGCCCCTGGATCCTGGGAAATGTCCAAGGGCAGGCTGGATGGGGCTTGGAGCAGCCTGGGACAGTTGGAAGTGTCCCTGCCATGGGACAAAGATGAGCTTTGAGGTCACTTCCAGCCCAACCCAACCCATTCTATGATTCCAATTTCACAAAGAGCTGAAAAGAAATACACAGCTAACCCCAAACATCCCTGTGAGCATTAAAAGCCACCATGAGGGAGAGGAGTTCCCAAAGGGTCGGGAAGGACTGGGATGGGCTGGTTTGGAAGTGCTGGAGGGTCGGGGGGGTTGTTTGGTGGTTGGTTGGTGAGAACGGGAGGGAACAGAAGCCCTGCCCGTGTGACGCCCCTCTTGTCCCCGCAGTGCACGCCCAGAAGCAGAACCGCCAGACGTGCGTGCGCAAGAGCCTCATCTGCGCCTTCGCCATGGCCTTCATCATCAGCGTGATGCTGATCGCGGCCAACCAGATCCTGCGCAGCGGCATGGAGTAGCGCTGGCACGGCTCGCCAGGCCCTGGCGCGCCCAGGCCCCATGCATGCGCAGCCCGGGAGAGCTCCCGCCCCGACCCCACGGCACCGCCACGCGGGCACGGCCGGCGCCCGCGCCGGGAGCCGGAGCCAGCGGCGTGTCCTGTGAACCAACCGCATCCTTCTGGCAGGGACATCAAAGGGCTGTTCTAATGCTTTAAAGGTTTCGTTTCCTAATGCAATAATCCCACGTCCAGGAGTCCCGAATTATTGCTTCGAAACAGCAATGGCAGCGCGGAGGACGCTCGGATCCGGCGCTCTGCGCTCTGGAGGAGGCCCAGCCTCGTGACTTGTCCTTACCCAGGGCCCGCTGACTATCCCACGGAGCTCCTGCCGGGCCCACATTCCCAGGAAGTTGATCGTAGCATTGCCACGAGCAAGTCCCGTTCCTTTTGTTCCACGTGTTCCAGCTTCACTTTCCTTTTCCCTTATGACCATGCCATGGAGTTTACGGCATTAGAGGGGAGCTAGAGCATCCTTGTACAGTATTTTCTGAGGAAAAAAGGGGAGAATTTGCCAGCACCATACAAAATGTCTATTTTTTGCTTCATCAACTCCGCCTTTGACACGAGACTGTGGGGTAGCAGGAGTCTGTTGGCCTTTTTTTTCCGACTGTGAATCAGGGCTTGAGGAGCACTCCTTGTTTTCCCACCTGGGCATTGCTGAACTTGTGCAAAGTCTTCCAAGGGACTCTGCCACCACCAGCGCCAGCTAAACCTCCCTCTCCTCAGGCCTCTCTGCATATTCAACATTTCCTCTCCAGCAGTTTTATCTTTCTTCTTTATTGATCTTCAAGAATTTTTTTCCCAGGTGAAAATCCTGAGGGAAGCTCTCCCTGAGCTTTCCTCCTCTCTCCTTGCCTGTACAATTTTAATTTATTCCATTTCATGTGGCCTGGTTATGATCTGCAGTGAAACCTCCATGGCAGACATCATCCTGTGGGGGAGGTTCTATTTTTACCCACATGGTAAAGTGTTGGTTTGACCAGCCAACTTCCCATTCCCTCCCAGGATCCATCCCACCACCCCCATCCCATGGCAGGCTCCAAAGGGGGCCATTGGAAAAGCCACGCTCAGCAGGAGAAGAAGGAACCAAACCTGAGCCCACCCCCGTGTGTTTGAAGTGTGTCAGACTTCCAGATCTGGGGAGAGTTGGGTGTTTTTCCTGGAATACATTCTGGGGAGCAGCAAGGAGGAGATGGAATGATGCAGAGCAGGGACACGACACGGGAAGTGCAAGGAGCCAGGATTGCTTGGGAAGGTGTTTTTCCTTTGAAACTCGACACGAATCCGTGCATTTCCCTTTGGATGAACTGTGCCCCTGGGTGTCACACCAGGACAGAGGTGATCTCCTGCCCTCCTGGGAGGGTTTTGCCAGCTGGTGATCATGGAGTGCTCCAAGGGAGGTCCATGGAGGCACTCGGGTGCTGGAGTGCTGGGAGAGCTCCAGGCACACCCAGGCACCCTGAGATGTTGCTCCTGGAAGTGGAGGTTCCCTGTGCCACAGGAGGGCCAGGAGGGCTCCCCTAGGAGTTGCACAGCCCCAACCTCCCTCATCCCACCCTGCAGCCATTGACTTACACTGGATCCATCCCCAAAACTCATTCCAGCTCTTTCTTTTCCACTAGTCCGAGTGACAACATTTACCTGCATTTTTAGCAGCCCAATTTAAAAATCTGCTGCTTGTTGTCCTGTCTCTCACCACCCCTTTAAACTCAAGTCACTTTTTAGTGTCTCAGTGTCCCACCGCCACCTTTTCCTGCCATTTTCCTGGTTTCCCCTCCATCCCAAAGACAACACCTTTTCCACAGCAGCTGAGTTGATTTATCTGCCTTTCCCAAATTCCTGCATTTCTGTTCTGCTGTGACCAATAGAGGTGAGTTGCAGAATATTCCATGAAAAAAAAGATTCTGTCTCCCAGAAGATGGAGAGATTTCCATTTGCTACAGGGTAGCAGCAGAATATCTGTGGAGTATTCTGATATGGGATTCTCAGTAGTGGGGAGCCCAGACACATTTTCTGTGCAGAGCATTGCAGATAACGAGTTTGGAAATCATTTTGAGGAAACTCATCCCCACTTTTAGCTCTCAGGGGTCTGTGGAAAGGTGGCAGCTGTGGGAAAAAAAGTCTAAATGTTCCTTGCCACTGAGGAAGACTCATTTTGTCCCGAGGCTTGTGCAGATGGAGGTGGAGGGAGGGATGGGGGAGCATGGGGTGGAGCAGTGCCTCCACTGAGCCCAAACCCACAACCCCAAACCCACAACCCCAAACCAGGCATTTCCCCACCCATTTCCTCACCCATGTGCCACAAACCCCCAGCAGACTCCAGGCCCAGCAGCACCTCATGGACAATGATTGTCTGCATTCCTTGAAGCTTTCTGGAAGGCTCCAGAATTGCCTCCTGCATTCCCCATGAGCCTTGTAAACACTGCCATTCTCCAGCCCAACCCTTCCCCTCGCAGCTCCATTTGTAAAGCCAAACCTATAATGAATATATTGGTAAAAGCCATAGCCTGGTGTCAGTAGAGTTCATTGCACAACTCCCCACTGATTTTACTGGGTACAGGATTTTTGGGGCTTTGGGGTGTGATTTTTCGGTAGGGAACCTCACTTTTCCATTACGAATCAGGGTCACGTCTTGCCAGAGGTCTCCTTTCCCTTCCTAGAGCAGCCTTCCTCCATCTCCAGGTGTTGTGAAGAGATCCCTTCTTTAATCAGTGGCTCCTGGCAATGCAGGATGGATCAGGCCAAGCTATTCCATCCTTTCCTTCCCTACAAACTTCCCATCCAGCAGCGCTGAATGTCTCCTACCTCCCTCCCTGGCTCCATTTATGTAACATCCATTTATCTCTTTTTTTTTTTTTTTTTTTTTTTTTTTTTTTTTATACTTTTTTTTTTTTTTTTTTTTTTTTTTTTTTCTTCTACACAAGAGGGGGAAAATAGGGCTTTTTGCTGCTTTTACAGACAGGAGGTAAAAATAGAGCAGTAAAATTCTGATTGGAACCTGATGGCAAAAGCTGAGGGGGGAGAAAGCAGAAGAATCAAAGACATAAAAATAAAAACCCCACATCCCATACTTTAAGGAAAAAAAAAAAAAACTATTTAAGTGCTAATTAACATACTTAAAAAAAATACCCAGACTGCAGCAGAGCTGTCAGAAAAAGCTCCAAACTTCTGCTCTTGCCAGTTCCAGGAGGATTGAAGTGTCTTTTCAGCCCTGCAGTTCTGGAGGAACAGGAGATTGCCATGGCAACCCTGGCTGTTCGTGACATGGGTGCCACCGTGGCAGAGCACACACGATCCCAGGCTTCCAGGGACGGGCAAACAGCTCCCAGCAGTGGGACAGGGGCTTTTCATGGATTAGGGAATCATTAGGAATTCGTGAGCAACTCTGTTGGCTTGGCCACAGAGAACCGTGTGCAATGAAGGGGATTGACGTGCAGGGAAGGCTTTGAGAGGGACGTGATGATTTCAGCCCCAGAGAGGCTTTAGTTTCATTCAGGAGGGAGTGAAATCCACTCAGCCTGAGCACTGCCTGTCCTGGGCTTGCTGAGGACTCTTTGGGAAGGTTCTCCACGTGGGAAGGATTTGGGTTCCTCCTCCTGCAAGGCTGCAGCCCTGATCACCATTGGTGACCTTGGCTTCAGCCGCTGGCTTTAGCAGTGACCCTGATTCCATGCCCTGGAGAAGCCAGCAGAAGGAACAGCAGCCTCACCAATGCTGAAATTATTTGGAGGGAAGTGAATTCCAGCAAAAGCTGCTGCAGGAACCCTGCTCACCTGTCAGAGCCAAAGCCATGAGGAAACCACAGCTGGGGAGCAGCCAGGCAGGACAGGCGCAGTGGCTTCGTCCTGAGCACGGCCAGGAGCTGAACTCCAGGTCCTTGTGGGGCCCTTCCAACTTAGGATATTCCATGAGGGTGGTGCTGGTGGCCCTGGAGACCCAGATCCTGCTCACAGCCAGTGACAGCTGGGAGGTGTCACCTCTGGTGCCACCCGTGGGATCCTGGCCCCTCCACGAGTGCACCACTGAGGAGGAATTTCTGATCAGAAGCAATGTCAACATGATCAAAAGATTTAAATTAGGAAGGCTTGGCTTTGTTGGGACTGCACTCCTCATGCTGTGGGAGGTGATAGGTAATTAAAGAGAGTTCACAAAATAATTCTTCCTGCTTGATGGGCATCCCCACATCCCCCAGTCACTGTCAGCACCTGGGGCAGTGATCACAGAGCCCAGGTCCAGGGTGAGCAGGATGGTGGGAGGGAGGAGCACCCCCAGCTCCCATCCCTGCTCCCCGGTGAGCCAGAGCTGAATTCCTGGGTGTAATCCAGTTCATTTGAGAGATTCCATCCCGGTTATCCAGAGGTTTCACCTGTTGGATGTGTGCAGTGGCAGGGCTGGATGTTGGCTGCTTTAATTCCAGCAGCTTGGATACCATTCTTTATAAGCAGGGCTGAGTAAAGAGGGGTTTTAAATCCAGAACTAGGGCAGGGAGCAAGGAAAGCAAGCCAAGCTAGAAAACATTCCCAAGGCTGCCACTCTGGATGGCTGAAATCTGTTTGGATGGGCCGAGTACCCACTGGTGCTTTCTTCCATTGAAGCTTAGGAATATTTTGTCCCAAAAAAAAATGAACCCTGCATCCTCCTGCCTGTTGTAGAAGAGTGAAACATCTCCTGGGCCACCCCTGGTACTGGGAGGGGCTCCATGCCCTGGGGCAAGGGGGTCTTGCAGCTTTTCCCATGGAAAACAGCCCCTGCACGTGCTGGGAGCTGCCAGGGCTGTCAGCACCCTGAGGTGACAGGAGCACAGCCCCCGTCAGCCCTGCATCAGCCAGGGGAGAAGCAGTGGGAGGAATGACATTAAAATCTCTAAGAATGAAGTCCCTTCTTTTACCCACCCCTGTAATCCATGATTTAGTTGTTGCTTTATGGATGAGCATTTGAAAGAAGAAAAACCAGCTCTTCTAAAATGAGAATCTGATGAAGTGTCTTTTTTCTTGGCTCTGAATCACGCTTCCATTCCACTGATGAAGATGTACAGAACTTGCTGGGTTTCAATCTATTATTTTACCCTCCTGTGCTCTGACAGTGCAATTACTTTTCCCTGGCATCACTTAAAACCTGTTCCTTTCCCAGGAATTTAATGCAGAAAAAGTTTCACCCCATTTCCATATCTTTGTGTTGTTGCCTGTTATCAGGATGGGGTCTGCATTTCTCCAGTTCAAGAAGGACATTTTAGGCTGCTCTAGGAAGTGATGAACCTTCACCAAGAGCAAGGTGGGCAGAAAATCTAAGAGCATTTAAATTGAAGTATGCACCACTTGCACCTTTCCAGTGGCAAAATTCTGTAAAACTTCTGTAATATGGCATCTTCACTATGAAATAATTGCAGCCCCAGAAGAGGGAGAAAGGAGAAAAAAGAAATCCTCTGGATCTAGAGCTCATCACTTGATTATGAAAGTACCACAGGGTTATATTTTATTTTCTGTCAAGACAGACCAAAACACTTTGTAGCCTTGAAAACCATTGCTAGATGAAATTGCCATTTCCCACCCAGTTATTTCCCCAGCTGTTCCTGGCCTGTCTTTGCCAACATCCCAAACCAGCAGCTGGATTTGCCCCTCTTGAGGTGAGATCCGTGTTCCAGCTTTCCTTTCCCAGCTGCTCCTGTGTCCCCACCAGCCAACCAGGAGACCTTGGCAAGCTCTGAGGTGGCTTTGGGTGCCACCAGTGCTTGGGCACCTTCTGTCCCTCCTGGGGGCCGTTCCGAAGGGTGCAGGGGGTGTTGTTGACATCAATCCCCAAATTCCTGCCTCCATTCCCAGGGCAGCAGCCCCAGGGTGGGCTCACCTTCCTGAGCATCCCTTCCAGAGCAGCCAAAGCTCTTCCAGCTGTTTTTCCCTCAGATTTATCCGGGCTGGGTGAGGAAGGGAGAGCAGGCTGCTCGTGGGCCCAGGGTCAGTCAGAAATAACTCATTAGAGTTAATTGGAATAAGCCCAGGACCCAGGCTGTTGCCATTGAATCTATAGCAGGATCTGAGGAATCTTGATTCATCTCTAGGAAGGTCTCCACTAATCCCTGTGGCTCCCTTTTGTCACCAGCTCATGTTTTCCGAGCCATTTACTGTTCATTTGTAAACTCACCGGGTTTTTTTGGCTCGTTAATGAAACACATGGCTTTTTAATTAAAGAAAAAACTTCACAAAGTCAGCAGCATAATAGTAAAAAAAAAAAAAAACTAACAAAAAACCTTTGTACAAAATACTGTAAATATTAATATAAATTAACTGGGCATGCAACTGAAATAAATCCTATGTTATTACAAGTTATCTGAGTGTATAAAGGAGTGTATAAAGGAAAAATGAATGCCATATGTATCAGCTGTTCCCTCTAACCAAACTCTACTGTAAATATATAATCTGTATAAAAATATTTTAATTTTACCATTATTTATGCAATAGAAATAAAGGTTTTTTTTCTTTTGATGAAGCTTTTTTTCTTCTTTTGAAGCATTGATATTTATTCATGCCCAAGTACAAGAGCAAAAGCAAGATTTGCATAAAATATTAGGACAGAGACCCTTTATTCCTTCTGAGAGATACATGAACATTTGAAAGGGGAGGGTTGTTTTGCTTTGAAAATAGATTTACATATTTAAAAGCCTGCTACTACAGAAGGAGCTCCTGTCTGGAGAAATGGGATCAGCAGTTCCAGATGCACAGGAAGCCAAAGGGAGGGACTGAACTTCTCTTCTGGAAGGCAAAGCCACAACTGGTCAGATCTCAGAGAGAAAGGTCGGCACTTGCTTTAAAAAAAAACAACTTCCATTTTTATCCCTCCCAGAGAGCCAGAGGCTGATCCCTGAGCTCGGGTGGGCTGGGGCACTGTTACTGCTGGGAGGAGGATGTTGAGCACAGCTTTAATGCTGACTCTGGTGCTGCCAAAGCCTGGGAGCTGCTCGGTGAGCATTAACTGCACTCAGGTGTCCTGGGGAGCCCTTTGTCCCCTAAAAAACGCAGAGCTCTTCATTTCCCTGCAGCCCTTCCTCCACAGGAGCCAGCCCAGCCTGTCCTGCTGGAGGAGGTGACAGTGAGGTTCACAACTGACACCACAAATGCCTGGAATTTGTGCCTGAATTCAGGCTGAAAAGGAAATTTGATGTTGGCAAAGCAGCTTCCCCCAGCTGGGGCCGAGCCACAGTGGCAGGACAAGGCTGGGATAGGGGAAGGTGTCCCTGCCCATGGAATGAGATGGGCTTTAAGGTCCTGTCCAGCCCAAACCATTCTGGGATCCTGTGACAGCTTGGGCCTGAGCAATTCCATGCAATCCCTGAAATCCACTGGAGGGCAAGCTGTGCAGGAAATTCCAAGTTTACCAAATTTAAAGTATGAAAAAAGGCACTGCACACTCTCGTTGACCTCTCATGTCAGTGGAGTGTTCCAATGAATGGCCCAGGAAAGAGCCTGGATTTATTACAGAAATGAATCAAACGGACTCCAGGAATTCCTGTACATTTACCATAGGAAGAACGAGCAATTGAAGGAATTCCCAGCTGGAAGGAGGAACCTGCACCCCACACTGAGAGCTGTTCTCCTGCAGGTCAGTGTGTTCAGGGCTCTCAGGAAAACCAGGCTTGTGCCTTGGGTTTCAGCCACCAGAGCTGCCCAGAAACTGAAATTTCCTGCTCGTACAGATCCTTTGCCCACCAGCCCTTGGAGAGGTGAGCACAGCTCAGTGTGACGCCACCAGGAAATCACCCCTGACTGCAGGAGAAAAGCAGCTTTAAAAGAGAAAAAACACCCCATAACTGGCCTGAGAGCAAACTGCTTTATCTCTCCAGAGCCATCCCACAAGCACAGCCATTGTCCCAGCTCCACCAAAGCCTCTTTATCTCCCTTGTCAATTTAATAGTCTGCATTAATGGAGACTTGAATGGTTAGTTGAATTATCTCCCTTAATGGAGAAGAGCAGGTGAGAACGTCACCCAAAAGCCCCATCCTTCAGCCATGCCCCATCTTGGGTTTTTGGGGGCTGCTGCTGCTGTGGAACCAGCACTGGCACTGGGCAGGAGCGACGGTGCAGGTCTAATCCAGATCTCAGGGAGGCAGTGGAAGCATTCCCAGACTTTGTGGGATTTGGATTAGGTCATCACACAGCACAGCACCTCACACCCTGGATCCTTGCTTTGTTTAAATGGAGCCTGGCCAAGGCCTGCAATTTCCTTACTGAAATACGAGTCCTGAAGAAAATAAATAAACCTTTCCTTACCCTGAGCGAAATTCAGGCACTCTGGCCATGGCTGGGCTCAAGCTCAAACCTGCAGCAGTGTCTTGGTTTGATCCCAAACTTTCCCCAGGCAGGTCCAGGCTCACCCAGGGAACACCCCCCCCCCCCCGCCCCAGCCCTGGGCTGGTCCCAGCATGGGCAGCAGGGCAGGGATTGGGATTCTGCCCCTGTGCCCAGGTGAGACCCCACCTGCAGAGTGCCCCAGCCCTGGGCCCAGCACAGGAGGAGCTGGAGCTGCTGGAGGAGCCCAGAGGAGGCTCCAGGATGAGCAGAGGATGGAGCAGCTCTGCTGGGAGCAAAGGCTGGGAGAGCTGGGAATGTTCACCTGGACAGGAGGAGATTTGGGGTCACCTCATGGTGTCCTTGCAGGACCTGAAGAGAATCTGCAGGAAACCTGGAGAGAGACTTGGGACAGGGGATGGAGGGACAGTACAAGGGGGAATGGGATCAAACTGACAGAGAATAGGTTTAGGTTGGATATTGGGAAGGAATTGTTCCCTGGCACAGGTGCCCAGAGCAGCTGTGGCTGCCCCTGGATCCCTGGCAGTGCCCAAGGCCAGGCTGGACAGGGCTGGGAGCAGCCTGGGACAGTGGGAGGTGTCCCTGCCATGGCAGGGGGTGGAATGGGATGAGCTTTAAGGTCCCTTCCATCCCAAACCCTTCTGGGACTCTGTGGCCCTGCAGGCTGCCTTTGTTGCTATGATCTCACCCACTCCATTCTCCTCTTTCCTCATTAACATCTCTAGGAAGTCTTTGCTAATGCAAATCCAGAGGCAGTAATTTATTTGGGCCGAGCCAGTTAATCCTGGCAAGGCTCTCTCTTGTAAGTATAGACCAATATCATCTTGTTTTAATTGCTTCTTTCAGTGTTCCTCAACAAATCAAAAACATTTTAATTAAAAAATTCACCACGAGTATCTTCCGGATCTTTTCCCATTTGTTCTTCTTCCTACCAAAATTATCAGGACAATTGTGAAGTTCTAAAGAAAGTAATTACAGCAGATGTTGATCTCTGCTGTAGCACCAGGCTTGCTGAATGCTGCACATCAGTCCCCTGACTTCTACTTTTTTTGCAGCTTTGTGAAGCAGAAATTTCCATCCTTGGTCCTCCCTCAGAAACGAGGTTGACTGTGTAGGAACTGGGATTATTTAATTCCATCTTTCAGGCAGCTGCTAAAGCTAAGGGGAAATTTGGAGGGAAGAAAGGGGAAGAAAAGAGGAGCTAGGATTAAGGAACTGCCAGGGATACAGGGATTTGGGCACAGAACAGTAAGGGAAGGCTGACAGATGTTTTATTTTACTCTAATACCATTCCTGGGCAGAAAGGCCCTGCTCCACCATCACCTCCCCGAAAGGGAAGATGATAAACCCACTGGAAGTGGCAGCATCAGGCTAAGGATGCCAAGTGCCACGCCTGGCACGCTGCAATAAATCTCTTTTAACCCCAATTACTGTCTGAATTTCCCCTTGCCCATAATGAGCTGCTTTGGAATAAGCTGTCAGAAATAACTGCCCACGCAGTGACAGACAGCTGAGATGATCACAGGGGTGTCACTGCAGACAGGAATTAAATGCCAGTGTCAGCACATGGCCCACAACCTGCAGCAGGATGCTGGTGGCCTAGGAAAGCCAATTTTCAGCATCCTCAGTCTGCTCAGGGCCACAGAAGGAGCAGCTTTTAATTGAAGGAGCGAAGTCCCCCACCCACAGGGCAAGAAAAATTTAAATCCCTTTGTTGGAGGCAATATGCCTCTAGGTCTGAGCTAAAAATATGAACAGAAAGGGACAAAACTATGGGAGTTTTCTGGGAGCTAAAGTTGTGCAAAAGCTCCAGCTCTTCTTTCTCTTTATCACGAGTTTCACAAAAAATTCAGGTGTGTGCCTCCAGCCTGGACCTGCCAGGGAGGTCTCTCTGCACTGGAGACTCTGGGCACATCCCCAGCAGGTGCAGGAATGGGCCCCACATGGTTGGGTTTGAGACATCAAAGATTGTAAAATCCCAGAGTGGCCTGCACTGGGAAGGACCTCAAAGCCCACCCAGTGCCCCCTGCCATGGCAGGGACACCTCCCACTGTCCCAGGCTGCTCCCAGCCCTGTCCAGCCTGGCCTTGGGCACTGCCAGGGATCCAGGGGCAGCCCCAGCTGCTCTGGGCACCTGTGCCAGGGCCTGCCCACCCTGCCAGGGAACAATTCCTAATTCCCAATATCCCATCCATCCCTGCCTCTGGCAGTGGGAGCCATTCCCTGTGTCCTGCCATGACAGCTGGGACAGCAGCAGCTGAATTTCACACACACAGATTGAAGGACAAGAGCACAAACACTGCAAATAAAACAATAACAAGCACTGGGGGTGCTGCAAACGCCCAGCACTGGGCTCTCTCTGCAGCTGGGGTCACCTTCTATCGTCAGGGGTGATCTGGACAAGGCTTCACTGATGTCTGCACTCCTGGCACTGCTCCAGGGGCAGAGCAGAGATCCCAGAGGCACCTCAGCCCCAAGGAGAACACGATGCCACCGAGCCACCTCCCCATCCAACGAGCTCCAGCTCACAGAGTGCTTCACAGCAAAGCACCAGAACCTCCTTGAGGTGAAAGATGTCACCTGGAGGGGCTGAGAGCCCCCAGTGCTGGTGGAAGAAGGGTAATCACTGCATGTGAGGCAGGAGAACTCTCAAGTGATTGCTGTTTGCAGAGGCTGATTAAATAGAAATTAAACTCATCTGCATGTGAGAAATGTGAATGGAATAGCAAGAGCATCCTTCCCACTGGCCTTTGGGGAGCTCATCCCTGGCCTGGCATGTCCCCCTCATGGAGCTGTGGAGCTTCCCGGCCTCCACCAGCAGACTGTTGAAACTGAACTTCCAGAGAGGTGGTTTCAGATAGAGAATAGCAAGGAATTCATCAGCCTCAGGTTGCTCGTGGGGAGGACACAGTTCCCTGTTTGCCACATTCCAGCTCCTGCTGCACTCAGCTTCCCCAAGCACTTCTCCAGCTTGGGATGGAACAGAACAGAAGAAGACAGTACAGGACAGGACAGGACAGGACAGAACAGTTCCATTTATTTCAGCTGAAATGACCTGCAATAATTTCTGATCAGTCCAGCTCTGACCACTTCAAGGCTGACCAAAATTTAAAGCAGGTTTTCAAGGGCAATTTCCAAAGCCTTCCTAAACACTGACTGGCTTGAGGCATTGACCATGAGGT